GATAAATATAACTGCGTGTCGTCTGTATAGTGATGTATATTGAATTTTTTCAAGGACAGATAACAGTCACAAATATACAAGCTGAAAAGTAAGGGCCCAAGGATATATCCTTGTGGCGTTCCCTTCAATACCGGCAGAGCATCTGACATAACTTCATCCACAACTCTTTGAGTACGATTCTTCAGATAGTTTTCTAAGAGAGACACTGCTTTCCGAGAAAACCCGAAGTAGACAAGTTTGTCACACAATATCTCATGATCTAGAGTGCCAAATGCCTTGCTGTAATCTAGAAGTATCAAACAGGTCAAATTTTGTTCACCTGCAACTTGAAAAATATCGTCAGTAATTGACAGAAGAGCCGTAGTGGTACTATGCTGAGGTCTGAATCCTGATTGTACAGATGTTATAATATGATTTTCATTGACGTACTCATTAATCTGATTTTTCAGAATCGATTTCACTACTTTAGAGAGATACGGTAGAATTGTAATTGGTCTTAGGTCAGGAAGGGCACTAGGTGAGTTACACTTTGCCAGAGGGATACCAATTCATCCTTCCAACATTTTGGAAATTGGCAACTGGTAATGATAAAGTTTATGAGAAAGGTGAAGTGATCTCTTGGTGATTCAACCTATCATTCAGGGTACAAAGAAAGTGAAAAAATTACGTTCAGTGTCCCTTCAAATAGGAATAATCTTTTATTTAACCTACTCTTGCTCTTTTTAGGTCGAACTTGAGTAGTTTTCTAACAGGAAAAACAAATTTTGGGTGTTTAGTATTCGTATTTGGTATTTTGGACTATATGGTGAAGAGTATGGGTGGCGTGCCACTTTAAAAGTAATCAGCTATTTCCATCGCTTTTGATGCTATTGAACCATCCGCTTCTGATAGTAGTGAAAATGTGGTCTCGCAGAAAGTTTATTAAACTACAGAATGAAGTAAATCAAAATAATCAACCAATCATCAATAAGTATAATTGAATTATTAAACTCTATACATAATGTATCATAATGAATTAAAATTACTCCCTCAATGATTATTTCACACTAAAAACTAATGATATAGACGTTCAACTGCATTTGAGGTCCTGAAGAGAATGTAGATCTTTCGAGCAATGATGTCCATACACAGTCCTTGATTCAAAAATACAAGAATTGCGTTTGGACAATCAGGGCCAAAAACTTCACTACTGCCGTTCATCATGCTGATGGAGTTCTGAAAAAATGATAACAATTAGCTCTTGACACAAAAACTAGAACTATAATATCTCAGATCATACGTTTGAAAAATCAAGACCAAACAATTATATACTACACCAGGGGTTCTCAACCTTTTTGCACCTGCGTACCACTTGACTTTTTGAGAAATTTTTGTTTCGACTTGCTACAAATATTTGTTCAAATGTATATAGCAAATAAACTATTCTATTCTAATCTACTCTATTTTCTGTACGCATGACTGTGGGCTAGTCTTACACATACCAATTTGAAAATTGAAGAAGAAGGAACCGAAACGAAAGTTTTACGTTGAATCTCCATATAAGGTTAAAAAACTGCGGAATGTGCAAATGTATGCAGAACACACTAGTTTCCATCAGACTGGAACGGTTCGGTCTTGAATATGTAACTGGTGATGAGGAAGTGGTCATATTTTTAAAGAAGGATCGCAAGCCTATTTGGAATCATTAAATGTGCTCGCATAGCGCGAAGACCATTAGATTAACTGTTTACGACTGAGAAACCGATAATTTGTAATATATGTGTCACGCTTTCATTTTGGAACAAGCCACCGTAATGAATTTTGAAATTATTTGAATTCTTCAAAATCGCATTTCCTGGTCAGCGAAGTTTATTCAGAAAATACTCAAGAGGTCTTTAGCTTGTGAAAAATTGTGATTCAAAACATAGAATCTCTTTCGTCTCGACTTCTGATGAACTGGATGAGTGGGCCGAATAACATATCTTTGATTTGTATTTGAATTTTCTGAACTACATAAGTTACAAGGCATTTCAAACGATGTGAAAGTTCCATATCCAAGTCTCTTCATATGATAATTCAGACAACAGTGACATGTAGGTAGACCTCTCAAACAATGAAGGTCATTAGTCGAATCAACTTCTTCGGAAATCCTAAGAAACAGCTCCAATTTGATGACATTTTTCCAAATCGTTGGAAACAGAAACGTTTCGAAGCAACTACAATATTCTTTTGTGTTTTATCAGCAATATGTATTATATTTATATGAGAACCTCAGTTGCATTGGAAAAATGCTTCATATTTCAGTCAGTATAACAATACTATATTAGATGTTAACGTACTAACTATGGCATTAACCTTGATATTGTTTTTGATGGAGGTGATGAATCTGAGAAAAACCGTAGATTCATTGGGCTATTTCAAAAGTTTCGTCCGTTTTTACGTTTTTTGTCTTTGTAGCTCCATATCTCAATAAATATTTATTCTACTGTGTCGTGGCATTACTGATCTATAGAGAATTTTGTACTCTATTCATTGATGCTGTTCTTTTCTTTTTCGAAACTCATTACTGTATGATGTCGTTGAGCGATTTCCGGCAAATTTTCTCTACGAATTCAAATCGAACCAAAGTGTTGCCCAAAAAATCAACCAGGCATTTGAAATTGATAATATTAATGAACGCACTGTTCGAAGTCGGTTTGCGAAATTTCGAAATTTTAGTCTCGAAGATGAGCCCCGAAGTGATCAACCTACTGTAATCCAGGACGAGGTCTGTTCTTCTTTGCTTTTGCGCAACCAAAACAATCTTTTTTTGGATTGGATCTTCACGTATGATGAAAACTGGTTCCACCAAAATGTCTTAGCACAATCATGTCGCTGGTATTACAAAGGCTGCTCCTTGAAAGCTTGGAACATTGTTTCGTACCAGAATACTGTACACACCTCAGTAACTTTTGATGCTTTATGAAGCTCAGATCAAACTTTCTTTGGAGAATTATTCTCGTGTTTGGAGCTCCGCTCCTAAGCATACCCTGAATCTGCTGGATTGCATCCAGAAAAGAGCCATCTACCTGTTTGGAGACGCGAATATCACTTGCAACCTCAAAGGTCTGGAACATGGAAGAAAACTTAGAAATTTGTCTCTTTTTTATAGATACAACTACGGAAAGTGTTCAATCACTTTCGAAACAACTACTTTTATATAAACCTTTTAATCATGAATTATGTTTCAGTTTGTATTCTAAAAAGTTTTTGTTGAGTTGAATTAGAATAATAAAATACAAGTAAAATAGAACAATTGAACAAAAATAAATTAAAATAAAGAAATGAAGAAAGAAAATGAAAATAAAAAGTTGAGAGATTCCAAGTCACGTTAGTTCACGACGTTTCGATGGTTAGTATCTACAATCGTCTTCGGGTGATGACTGGACTTTTTTTCTTCCAGTTTGTATTTGAAAGTAACCTTTATGCATGGTCTACAAATCTCCGTAAAAACTTTGCTCTAAGCTCAATTGCTTTCTTTTTTTCTTCGAAAATCTTTCTTGGAAATCGAAATTCTGAAAGAATTTCGATTTCCAATTATGGAATTTCATTGATTTTAGGTCGATGATGGCCACTATCTTGCACTGATGAGTGGCCCGTTCCAAAATTGTTGAATGAATGAATGATTTATTGGTAGGAAGGTCCTAATACACAAACATAATATACATAATATTTCATGTTATATAGACACACATAGTAAGGATATAATACTAATACTATTCTATTGTGATACCTTTCATATAATCAGTCAAATCTTTTTTGAATTGAAACAGGTTTTTATTATTCTCCACATTTTGGGGAAGTTTGTTATATTCAATGAGGCCTTTATATAATAAAATTTTCATGGAGTTTGATAAACTACATCGTGGCAGGTGAAAATTGTCATTTTGTCTAGTAGTGTAATTGTGAGTGGAATTTCTATAAATGATAAATTCTTCGAAATAAGAAGGTAGCATATGATTGGTTATCTTAAAACTAAATATCATTGCTGACCTGTAATATCTTTCACGAATAGACATCCACTGTAATGCACTCAACTTAAAGCATATACTTGCATAACGATTACATCCAAGAACCACCCTCATTCCTCTGTTCTGTAACTTTTGCAGCGACATAATTTTATTTTGGTCAAAACTGTATAACAGCGTACTGCAATAATCAAAATGGGACTGTATTATTGTATTATATACGGTTATTTTCGCATTTGTAGAAAGGTGTTTCGAAATTCTAGTGAAGAAATATAGCTTTTTTGAAATCTTTTTAGTTCGACTCTTTCAGTTGTATTGCCAATTGCATATGCAGGAAATTTTCTGTGAAGATTCCTGCACTGACGCCTGTCGGATATAATCCAACGCCCTTCGTGGTATTAGCCAGGGGAGTAGTTGTTTTCTGATAGGCGTCAGTCCATTCAACCTTCTCTGTAGGTATTATATCTGAGACTGTCTTGAACGTTTAAAGTTAATTTCTTTAGATTTATTAGTTAGAAGTTTTATATTTTATTATTACAAAGTGGATGAGACACGTATTATGTCCAAGTATTATTCTCAGCCAATGGAAAAAAATTAAAATTATCATCTCTGGATTAGCGCAAACTTGGAAAAGGAAGATAAAACATAGATTCCATTGTCCAAAAACTGTTGATGTGGAATTTTCGGAAGGCACTTTTCAAGAACTGTTTTGTTTAGAAAACGGCATCCTTACGAAATAAACTTCCAAAGGCCGTTTTACAAACACATGCATTTCATGAAAAATTAATAACTTCGATTTCATCGTTACCATAAAGAGTGTAGAATTATTTATTTGCTCGAATTCATCCATGGACACTCATTTGTATCAAAAAAATCCATTCGGCCTTGAAGTACCTCCGATCTAAATCCAAAGCGTGCTCTTGAATACGCGCCTCATCCACGGTACGATGCTCGAAATTGCATAAGAAGAGGATGTGGAAGTGAATAGTGAAATACAAAACGGCGTAGTGGTGAACGACTGTTCATAGAAAGTCAGCCTGTGGCCGATATATAAAACACGGCAAAGAATTACCGACTCACAAAGCCTTCCATATCATCGTACAATCATGAAGGCATTGGTGAGTAGTCAGATTTTCAATGTGTGGTTGTGGTTTTTCGACAGAAGTGATTTTAGTGGTTTTCCGCGTCGGTGGATGCTGAAGAATGACAGTGATCGAAGTGCATTTTTCCAAACGTCGGAGTATATGAAACGCTCAAAGTGGGCACAGAGAGAAATTGATTTGTTTTAAGGAGTTTTGATTTGATTTTCAAAGCTATAATTACCAAGTAATGGCTATCACAAAATTTGAGTAGATTTCTCTCTGTGCTGGTAACATATTCAAACCAGAAAATATTTCACAGGCAGTGAAAATTATGAAACTGTCTTCGAATATTCTAGAACTCAATTGATGAACAATTTTTGTCTCAATGTTAATGGATTTTTTGATACCAAACAAAAAAAAAGTTCCAGATTATTTCCTGATAATATTATTATACTTTCATTCAGTGATAGTCATGGTGTATAAAAGAAGATAATAGAATTCAAAGATCACTAACACAATCAATATTTTTAAAAGTCACCTACTTGCAGGGAAGATCAAATCATTCAATATCAAGAAATAGGCTGCAGCTGATATCGGATATTGTATTTCTCAATATAAAATTATTTTGAGATGAGAAGGTTTCCAGCATGAATTTGAATTTATAGAAATAAACAGAATTCATCAAAAATGATCCAAGAACGAATCAAATTATTAAAAAAATAGTTAATCTAACGAAAAATTGTTGAGTTTTCGACTGAACTGAACACATTTATTTACAATTTTTTGAATTAATTTGATTCTGTCACAAACAGCCTGACAAAAGGTATTCGTAGATAAAGTATTGGTTGCTAATATATCCAGTATCTGAAATGAGTATATTTCATTATTTACCTAAACATTCAACTTGTTCATATTTTTTTCAAATGCAGATAGTCTGTACTCTAGTGGATTTGAACTTTTTTAGTCATTTTCACTTTTGTTTGAATATTTTGTTCATTTTGAAAAATATCATTCAAAGTATAGATATCAGTTTGAATTGAAACACTATGAAAAATATTCCACCGCCCTTGAAGAATTCAAACGGATATTTAACAGCATTGCCCTATGTCTGTAGTCAAACATTGATCGATGTGAAAGTAGTGAAAGCATTTATATCAAATTTCATGTCATAACTATTCAAGTTCCATGATACCCGTATGTTTTCATTTTCTGTTACCAACATGCATATATCTTCATAATTTACATAACATCAGGACTTCACTGAAGTGTAATCAAACTCGAGTATCTTTAAAATTTCTTTTCGAAAAAGTTTATGAACATTTTTACCATTTTTCACATTATCCACTGATTATTTTTATGAATGACAGTAGAAATAACAATATTCTAATGAATGAAGAAATAATGGTTTATAATCGAAAAACAAATCTCAAGGTTCCATTCAAAATTACTAGAACCACGTTTTATACACAATTATTATTATTATAACAAATACCTAGTAACACTGATTTGATTACTTCTCACTAGAAAACTGTTTTTTAACTGGATACTTGTTTTTTAAATTTGATATGAAGGAAGATCGTCAGGTTGTGGTCGACTGATTTGTTCTTTATTTTCATTTTTTCCGAGATTGAGGAGAACCGAATCTATTCATGTTATGTTATGCTTGAGATTTTTATCGCTAATGAAAGTTCATTTCGACAGATTATTCGCCAACTGTTCAGAACTAGCAGGTCACGTAACATCCAATGTGGTGACATAGTTTTCTAAGTTTCAGTTGAAATTTTATGAAAAGAGAGGAGTCTGAAATACTCAATAAGATACTCATCAACACATCCATAAATGATAAAACTGTTAATATAAAAACATCAACGAACTATATTGTTCATAATTTCGCAAAATAATGTAACGAGAATTACAAAAATATTTATGAAAACGTTTGATTGGAATGGTAAACACTAAACATTCCATAAAATTGTTTCAATTACAATTCCAATATCCTTCAGAGTAACTGCTTAAAATTCTTGAGAGAGAGTTTCTGTTATCAATTTTCTTAAATCTATTTCTTCAATGAAATTCTAATAATTTACACTACAAATCGAGAGGGCATTGATAAAAATATTCGATAAGAATGTTGATAATTGTAGAATGCAAAAGAGGCTTTTTTGTTACCCTATTTTACTTATTTAATGTAGGTACGCTTCAGCATATTGAAATCCAACTTTCAAAAACGTGAATTCTAAACGTCAACTTTTCAATAATGAACTTGATACATTTTTTTCATCTCACGATTTGATTTTATTACAAAGCGCAAATCAACTTTTGTGTTTCCTTGAAAACTGAAGGTATATCGATGTCATATCACGGATTCAAATATTTTACAGTAATGATTATTATTCAGATTCTCAGATGATGATTTCAAACCGTATCAATGAAAAATAGCATGAAGTATTCCTGGATAAATTGGTTTTCGAAACACCTCAAAATGCTTCAATATCCACTTACATTATAGAAGCTCTAGAGTAGGTACAAAGTTAGTTCATTCCTTTCAGCGCCCAAAATAGAAAGTACTACGTTAATTTTACGTTGGTATTTGGGAATACAAAGCCTGTTTTGTTATGCTAGAAGAAAAATGGTTCTGCGAGGGTAAATGAAAAGCGATTAATCAATTGAACTTCCACAACTTTTGTCACTATTCGAACTACCATATCCTCCCGAATGAACAAAGAGGAAATATCAAATTGACAAGTTTCTAAACATTTTCAATTGTTTTAGGTTGTCGTAAGCGTCGTTTACTTTTGCGTAGCTCTAGCTGCCGAACCGGAGAAAAAAGAGGTTGCGGAGGAGAGTAAAAAACAGGAGAAACGAGGAATATTCGGCCTTGGAGACCACGGAGGCAATTTTGGAGGAGGAGGAGACTTTGGTGGTCATGATTTAGGCGGCGGTTCGGGTGGTGGATACGGGGGCGGTTATGGGGGCGGTTACGGGGGCGGTTACGGAGGAGGTTACGGGGGCGGTTACGGGGGCAGTTACGACGGCGGCCACCACGAACACGTCAAAACAGTCGTTGTCGAAAAGAAAATTCCAACCCCCTACGAAGTGGTTAAACACGTTCCTTACACCGTAGAGAAGAAAGTACCATACGAAGTCAAGGTACCAGTACCCCAACCGTACGAGGTGATGAAGAAAGTTCCAGTACCAGTCAAGGAGTATATCAAAGTACCCTACATAGTACCACAACCCTATGAAGTTATCAAGAAAGTACCTTACGAAGTAAAAGTACCAGTACCAAGACCGTACGAAGTTAAAGTTCACGTTCCCCAGCCTTACACCGTCGAAAAGAAAATCCCAGTACCAGTCAAAGTGCCAGTTCCTCAGCCCTACACAGTTTACAAGAAAGTACCATACCCAGTCAAAGTAGAAGTACCAGTACCACAACCATACACCGTAGAAAAGAAAGTACCTTACGAAGTCAAAGTACCAGTAGACAGACCTTACACCGTTCATGTACCCAAGCCCTACCACGTCACCGTAGAGAAGCACGTACCATACCCAGTAGACAAGCCAGTACCATACGAAGTGAAAGTACCAATCGATAGGCCGTACCCCGTCTCAGTACCAAAACCTGTGCCTTACCCAGTCAAAGTACCGGTGCCACAACCCTACACCGTCGTGAGGAAAGTTCCAGTGGAGATTGAGAAACCCGTCCCGGTACCAGTCAAGGTGCACGTCGACAAGCCTTACCCCGTTATCAAGGAAGTACCTTACCCAGTGGAGAAAGAAGTTCCATACCCCGTCAAGGTTCCGGTTGCGGTACCAGTGCATGTACACGAACATCATGATATCGGTGGCGGATATGGTGGTGGGCATGGGTACCACCACTAGTTGTTGATAGATCTTTGTAATTGTTATGTAATGTAATTCGCTGTTAAAGGTGAACAAATACTCTATGTCGACATCTGCGTTTGATTGTCATTTCCTTAAATGAAACCAGGAAGAAAGCAGTATTATTACTTAGAAAACTGTGTTGATTAGTATATTTATCTACTCTTATAATAAATCATTTCTGTATATATGTCTAATTCTCTTGTGTTGAGCAATGGCTGGATTCCAGTTCCACTAGAGCGAAAAAAAAGGATTTGCAACGAATTTTTTGTTCACAGAGAGTTTTTGAAAGAAATGGGACAATTAAGCAAATTAACTGATCTACATATGAACTGAGAGACAGTAATTAAGCTTTTGAACGAATAATGTGATAGCTTTGAATAAAAGAAGCTTTAAGGGTGATAGCGAAAAGCCTCAAAAGCCCACCCAGGTAAGTTATTGAGAAAAAAATATATTGTATCAGAAACTTATAGTCATAAAATTTTACCAATGAGCAATTTGCAAATTTCAAAAAATGATTTACATACTCATCATTATAACATACTAGAGGTGACATTCCAAAAATAAAGTAATTGCAGCTGAATTTAAAGGTCAATTATTCAATTACATGCGGCAGTTGATTTTTTTCAAATAGTTTTGAACAATAACATAGAAGTACTTTTCTTTTCTAACTTTTACTGTCACTATTTGTGAAAGAACTTGAATTACATCTAGCCTTCAACAAATATTTGGGAGGGATGATTTTCAATAAAACTTTTTGTCAAATCTTCCATGATTTGAATGAATTGAATGAAGATACTAAAAATGTGATGAGGAAGAACCTTTGAAGTTCACCATATAAGTTCTTGACTATTATGAGTAATGAAAATATTGCATTTTGTCACAAACAATTTTCATCGAATATGACTTACAAATGAACAAAAGATAACTTTCATTTTGGCTTCTTATGCCGATAAGACAAGTTTTTTGACCAGCTGAAAGTCTTTGATTAGAAAAAATTCGATCTTCACAATAGTTTGTGATCTAAAGAGTTACTTTTTTTCTATTTCATGGTAAATTTCATCCATCAATATTTCCTTTTCATCATAAATTGTAGTGGGTTAGGTAAATGTCCATACGTGGGGTACCCATACAATATAGAATTATAGGCCAGATCCTGGTTAGGCTGAAGATGAAAAATTAAATGGAATTTTTTATGAAAGACATGTTCTGGGTTTTGACTTCTACACATTCATACAAAAATAAACTCAAAAAGATGTGTTGATCATGCATAGAAGTTTCTTTCAGACAGAAACAGGAAGAGAAAGCCCTCTTACTACTTTCATATGAACATTGAATTATACAAAAACACTTTTTTCTATTCAATTTGTACTGGAATTGAATCAGATATAATTCACAGGATTAATGAAGGAAAGATAATTGGAACGGACATTCTCAAACTTATACAATAAACTAACAATTTTCAAACTTATACATTGAACATTAAAGTTTAATGTATAAGTTTGAAAATGTCCTTTTAGGACGAAACTGCAGTAACGTTAGATACAAATTAAAGTGGTAAAAAATATAGAAAATTTAAATTCTTTTTTCTTCATTATGATTTCCTACCACGTACTAACGGCTACATCCATCAATTCATTAACAGGATTGTTACACAATATATCGTGTTACGAGTTTAAAACATCATTCACACACAAAAATATACCTCTTTTATGTTAAACAAGATGAAAAATATTTTACAGATCAGAAACAGTTCAAATGTGTTTGAGGATTGCTGTAATGGGAGAATGCGTTTGAAAGTAGTTTCATACAAGAATCTACACACATATTTCTCAAATTTGATAATTGTACTATTGTTTCTATTGTTAATTGTTTCGCACCCAGATCTTTAGGTAATGTATGGAATTCTGTCTAGCAGAACAAATTGAAAGTTAATAATATTTCAGATTTGTCTCTGATTTTTCCACCCACCTGAAGACGAAAAAGTTAAGATATATTTACAATCAAAATCATTCATTGAATAATTCAGAATACCAGTGTTCGTTAATTTTTGGAATAAGAAAATCGTGCGCAACCATCTGAAATGGATGACGATTATCTCAACCTATAACTAGCAGTTTTGGTAAATAGAAAATTTTAGTTTTATACTACATTCCTCAGAAATATAATAAATTCGATAAAAATGTAATATCCACTAATACATCGAATTGTTTCAAAATTTTTGTCCATTTTAATGTCATATGTTTTTGTAGCTCTATATCTCAATCAATAATTCCTTCTATCCTAGAACCACTAGGTACTATACGTAATGGTGGCAAACGTCCTGATGGAATGACCCTTGTTTCCTGGATTTCATGTGTGCGGACATATTGACTCCCTCTCATTTAGTTGGAACGTCCAAAAAAGCAGGTGTTGCTGCCATAACCAGTGAGAAAGCAAGACAGCAGAAATATCGTAATGTTTATATTTAATTTTCACATATAGTCAGAGGGCATACTTAAAGACAGCCTATAAATCAAATCATCTGAAAAAACAATTTGTTCAGGCCAGTCTCAACTTCCTACACTGTAGATTAATGTACTGACACCACCTATCAGAAAACAACTACTCTCCTGGCTAATAGCACGAAGGGCATTGGAATATATCCGACAGCTGTCAGTGCAATAATGATGAAGCTACTTCACGACTGGACTGATTCCTCTGAGAGATGACTTTTTATGGGTCATTTGAGTTTTTCCTCTTTCCGCTTCACCGGTTTAGCGGGAGATGACGGTTTGCTGGGAGTTGGCCATTTTTCGCTTGATTTTGGGTTTCCATATGTTGCGTATCTCTACGTTAGCTTGGCTGAATACATTGTTGGACATGTATGCGGCTTCTTTGAATTTCCTCCTAAGCCAATGTTCCTCCCTGTATATGATCTCAGCTTGGGACCACTCGATATTATGATGATGGGTCCAAACACGCTTTGCTATTCCTGATTTTCTGGTTTTCCCTTGCTGTGTGTGTTTATTGTGCTCGGCAATGCGAACTTTCAATGGCCTCTTAGTTTCACCGATATAAGATTTTCCGCATTCACAGAGTATCAGGTAAATGCAATTCTTGGAATCGCAGTCCGCGTTTGGTGGCGTAGTTTTCGTGAGGCTGTTACGGATAGTGATTCCGGATCTGAAGCAGGTTTTGATGTTGTATTTCTTCTTATCCTTTCCGATAATCCTCTGATGTAGGTAAGGGCAAGCACTGGTTGTGACGGCTTCTCTTCATTGTGAAGTTCCTGCTGTCTTTTAGTCAAAGTCTGTTCCACCATCCTTTTGATGATGTCCCGCTCAATGGAATAGAAGGATACTTGTTAAGAAAAGGTTTGAACTTTGTCATTGCGTCAACTTTGGGGATAATTACTGCAGTGGAATCCAACAGTTCCCTTATCATCATCTTTTTTGTAGAAATTACGGTATTTTGTCGAATTACTAAGGGCAATTGAAGTCACAGAACAAGATCAATTAGTTTCGACGTGAAAAGTCTTTACACCATCTTTTCGGTCAAAGAAGCACTCCAAATCATAACTGTAGAAGTAATTATGGAACTACTAGGTTGCTGTGTACGAAACTGTTATTTCCAAGTGAAGGACAAATTCTTTACACAATATGAGGGACTATCAATGGGATCGCCACTTTCGCCAGTGATAGCCAACATATATATGGAGTGGTTTGAAACTCTGGACATTGATGAAGCCCACAAGAAACCCAGAATCTGGTTGATATACGTTGACGACACCTTCATAATATGGAACCATGAACTAGACGCCTTCCTGAAACACATCAACAGCATAGGATCTTCCATCACTTTCACAATGGAGAAGAAAGTCTACAACGAATTGCTATTCTAGACGTATTGATGAAGAGAACCGACACTAAGTGGGAAACATCTGTATACCGAAAACCCACTCAGACAGGACAGTATCTGAACCACGAATCCAACCACCATCAATCGACTAAACGAGGAATCATCAAGACTATTAGACCGTGCTTTCGGGCTCTTCAATACGAAGGAAGATTTCGACAAGGAACTGGACAATACAAAAATTGATCTTCAATGGAATGGCTACTCCAGAGCGATGGTAGAAAAGATTTTGGCTAAAAGACAGCAGGAGCCTCCCAAGGAATTGAAGCCGTCACAACCAGTGCTTGCACTTCCCTACATCAAAGGAATATCGGAAAGGATAAGAAGAATTGGGTCCAAGTACAGCATCAGAACCTGCTTCAGATGCTTCTGAATACTATACGTAGTATCCCTACGAAAACCAGGCCACCAAACGCGGACTCCGATTCCAAGAATTGCATTTACCGGACACCATGTAAATGAGGAAAATCCTGTATTGGTGAAACTAAGAGGACATCGAAAGTTTGCCTTGCCGAGCACAAGAAACACACACAGCGAGGGGAAACCAGCAAATCAGGAATAGCAGAGCATGTTTCGAACCAACAACATAACATCAAGTGGTCCCAATCTGAGATCATACACAGGGAGGAACATTACTTTAGGAGAAGATTCAAAGAAGCCTTATACATGTTGTCCAACAATGTATCCAGCCAATCTAGCGTAGAGATACGCAACATATGGAAACCCATAATCAAGCGAAAAATGGCCAACTCCCGGCAAACGGTCATCTCCTGCTAAACCGGTGAAGCGGAAATAAGAAAGCAGAGATAAGTGAAAGTACTCGAATGACCCATAAATAGTCATCTTTCAAAGGAATTAGTCCAGTCTTCACCCGAAGACGATTGTGGATACTAACAATCGAAACGTCGTGACGTAACTTGGTTTGGAATCTTTCAATTTTTCATTTTACTTTTTTCAATTTTTTGTTCAGTTGTTGTATTTTTATTTCATTGCGATTCCATTTCAAAGTTTTTTTTGCTTCTTATAATTGTTATTTTCAGCTATTTTCAATTTTTTTTAATTGATTCTATCAGGAATTTCAAATCATTCTATATAATATTAGACAATGGAAGCCCGAACTAATGATTTGTCAATCACAAATCACTATCAATCACCTTCAAACATATTCATAATTTGATTCAGCATGGGCCAGTGATGAAATAATATAGATAGGTTGCAAATGTTTGGTTGTTTGGGAATAACAGAAGTGGTGAAAACCATACCAACAGCAGCGTTAGAAGCATAGTTGAGTCAATTCACTGTACTTCTTATAACTTTACTACAACTATTCATAGATGGAGAAGTAGAAAGCAAACCTTTCACTCAGCCACCAGAGATCAGACAACCAAAATTTCGAGATAGCAAACTGAAAAGGGTGGATGATAAATATTGATAAATCCCAGAGTAACATGAAGATTGATCTGGAACCAGTCCGGAACCGGCTCTGGTGTTACAAAAATCATTATTACAAAATTAGAATCAGAATAGGTTAATAAGAAACATGAAGGTAGTCATCCAACAATGAACCTGCATGAACCAGTACAGGATACAAGTCAGGTAGTACCAAAAAAGTGAAATGATATTTCAATGATACTTACAAGTAGATAATTGGCTGGAGTCCTAACAGAATGGGGATTTTTGTAGCAGCTGTGACTCTTCAGTAAAACGAGTACATGTCCACAAGTATTCTTGTAAATGTTATGCAAAATATTAAAACTAACAAGTTAAACGTTTCATTTTATCAAACCTGTTCGACAAGGATCAGTCGCAGTTTCTAAATTCATATAGAAATCTATGGCCTCTGCAAGGAAATTCAGTTCGTTATACTACCGCGTATGCCTTATGCTCTCATTATACAGGTGAAAGTGACGATGATAATGATGGCGTACAACATCATTCATCTGGAACTGATTGCGGAGCTGCTTACAAATTATAATTATTATACTGATCTACCATATGACGCTTGGTGCTTTGGCGATTTGTCGCTATTAATTGTGGCAATGAAAATTGTTGATTTTTGTTCGAATGCTTTCACTCAATAATATTTATATACCGATTTAAATAATATTCCACTCAAAAAGCTGAAGGTGATATGTATCTATAGAATAATGAATATTTTGGATCTCGAGAAGAACGGAACATTTTTAAAAATAGGAAAAACGAAAAAAATCCACATTTCACCAATATTTAGGTGGAAATCTGGGTGACCCGAGCAAAGGATGAAATAAGTAATAAAAAATTTTAAACGGTTTTATTGAAAAAAAAAGACAAAAATGAAGTAGATAATGTAGTAGTAGTAGTAGTAGTAGTAGTAGTAGTAGTAGTAGTAGTAGTAGTAGTAGTAGTAGTAGTAGTAGTAGTAGTAGTAGTAGTAGTAGTAGTAGTAGTAGTAGTAGTAGTAGTAGTAGTAGTAGTAGTAGTAGTAGTAGTAGTAGTAGTAGTAGTAGTAGTAGTAGTTGTTGTTTTTTACTCCAGGGTAGCTCTAGCGTTTCTAGAGGGAAACGCTTCAGCTCGAAGTGTGGGACTCCATGACTCTGTCATAGCCTACCCACTAAAACCCCTCTTCAGCATTCAAGTGGCTCTTTCTGGAACTGCTTTAGGGCATCACTTCAGAAAGAGGATGCTTATTGTTCTTAGTTTTTTTTTTCCTCATCGCTGTCTATTTTCTCACACCCTGATATCTCTCTCCTTCGTGTCAATTATATATTTGGCCAGGGAGCTTATCTTAGTCCAAATTTCTGCATCCTCCAGCATCTTGTTGATTATGTTGTCTGGAGTTAGTTGACCTGTGACCGTTTCCACTTCTTGTTTTTTTGATGCCATCTCATACAGGTGAAAAATGTATGAACGACGGTGTCACCTGCCTCGCAGTATATGCATGAGTCGCTATTGCTTACATGGAAGCGTTTGCGGTAAATCTGGAAGCACCCGTGCCCTGTTAGTAGCTGTGTCAGGTGGTACGTGGTATCACCATGTTTCCTCGAAAACCAGGGAGCTATATCCGGGATAAGTCTGCGCGTCCACTGTTCTGTGTCTGTTTCTCCTTGCCACCATTCCTGCCATCTTTCGAACATAGTCGTGTTAGCGTTGGTCTTCTCAGTTGACCTCTCTTCCATTCTTTGTCTAGCCCATATGTGTATGAGGGGAATCCGTGCTACTACTAAAAGTGGCCTAGTGGACGCGGTTCTGTATTCTTCAGTTATATAGATAGCCGTCCGGCATTGAGTGCTTAGCAAGACTTTTCGGTTGACCTCTCTCTGTAGAGCCTTGTGCCAGATTGGTGCTGCACAGAGCATAATTGAATGCACCACTGAGCACAGGATTTTTCTTGTGGCCTCTCTCGGACCTCTAGCTTTGGGAATCAGCCTTCCTATCGCCGCTAGGGCTTTGTTAGCTTTTTCCGCTGTTCTCCTTACATGAGCCCCCATTGTCATGTTTTTATCCGACAGCATACCTAGATATCTCACCTTTTCCTGGCTCTCCACCACGGTATCCTCAATTTCTAGGCTGATGGTCTTAATTTTTCTTCCTGCTACCAAGAGGACTGCTTCCGTTTTCTGTGGGGCTAGTCTCAATCGCTTCTAATGAAGCCATTCTGCACTATTTTGTAGAGTCTGATTTGCTATCATTTGCAGGTTTTCCTTCGTTTTGGCTGTAACTACAATCCCCACATCATCGGCAAAGTTTACTAGCCTGACTCCATCCGGGGTTTGGATACTGAAGATCCTGTCATAGTAGAGGTTCTATAGAGTAGGTCCTAATACGGATCCCTGAGGAACTCCACAGGTTACTTTTTTGTTTCCACTTCTATCATTAGCTATCTCTCTTCGAAGTAGCTGATTAACATTTCAAGGAGGTACGGGGTGATCTTTCTCCTGTGCAGCTCCTCCAGTATTCCGTTCCACGGTGCTGTGTTGAATGCGTTCTGCACATTGATGGTTATAAGAGTGTACAACTTCCTCTTATGGTATGGACCGTCTCTGGCTTTCTCCGCTGTTTCCGTTACCCTCTCCAGTGCGTCCGATGTAGATCGTCCCTCTCGGAAGCCAAACTGTTCATCTGATAGCCCGCCCATTCTCTATATTTCTATCTTCAGTCTTCCCAGTAGCATTTTTTCTAGCAGCTTTCCCAGGACATTCAACACACATATGGGTCGGAACGCCTTGTTTGTGCTTCCTGCTTTACTTTCTTTCTCGATTAGTACCAGCCTCGCGGTTTTCCATTCATTCGGAAAGTTACCCTCCATCAGTGCTGCGTTCATAGTCTCCAGCACTTTATCCAGGTACTTTTGTGCTGCTGCTCTGACCACTTCTGCTGTCCGTACCAGGAGCCTTCTTTACCTTAGTCTTCTTTACTGCTGCCAACAATTCCTCTATACTAAATTTGAGGACATTTTGGTACACTATGGGTTTTTTCCATTCTGTTACTGAATGCTCTGGAAAAAGGGTTTTGGCTATTTCTCTCTGTTCATTGTCTGTCATCGTTATCGTTTGTGGGGTTGTGATTTTTTTCGTCACTATCTGGTATCATTTTCCCCATCTATCTGCATCTACTTCATTCTGGAGCACCTTCCAACTCCTATTCTTTGCCTCCCATATTGCTTTGTTGGGAGATTTCCTGCAGCCAGCATATTCCTCATGGCATCTGATTTTTGACTCTCGTCGTTTTTTTATTTGCTCTCACCATGGCTCCTTTTTTTCCAAGGCAGTTTTTCCTGAGTTCTCCTATTTCGGAAGACCACCAATATACTGGTTTCCTATAGTTGTGTTGTTTTTTTCTTGGAAATACTTTATCGCAGGAGTCTGTAAGTATTTTTGTGAGTTTTTTCGGTGTTAGCGGGTTGATTTCCTCTTTTAGTTTTTTACCCACTTCCCTTCTATTATTTTCCAGCCTTTCGTTGTTGGTTCATTAGAGTCTTTTTTCCTGGTTTGGTCAATTATTTCGAATAGTATGTGGCGGTGATTGCTCAAGTTCTCTTCCTCTAGAACTCTCCAGTTCTGTATGTTCTTGCACTGAAGGTGACATCAATGTGCGATTCCGCTCTTCCGCGCACAAAAGTAGGTTCCTCCCCTGTATTATGCACCTTTAAATCGTCTTCGGCCATCCATTCAGACAGAGCTTGTCCTCTCTTGTCTTCCACATTTGATCCCCATAGGTAGGATTTTGAGTTGAAGTCCCCTCCAACGACTATTTGTTTGACATGTTTCTTCATATCGCTCCTGAGCGTATTGAGGTAGGTCTGAAAAGTTACCATGTCTATATTTAGGGATATATAGCATGAGTATAGGACCAGTGAGTCTAGTTTTATCCAGACATAGCCTGGTCCCACTCCTGTTTTGCGAACTTTCATTTTGTTGTTTATGACTTTGATCAGCACGTCTGTTTTGGTGTGTACCAGCCATCCACCCTCGGCTACCTTCTTTTTGTTTGGTTCTGACATAATCACTAGGTCTACTCCCTCCTCTTCACATATTTTGAACATTATGTCCATGGCTACCCTCCTTCTCATAAGATTTCCTTGTAGTATCTTTATGTTGACCCATTTTTTTCTCCCTCTGCCTGTTTCTTATTTTTCGGACTTCTCCTTACACGAGCCTTTATTTTTTCCACTGCCTCTCTATATCTTGGACACTTCATGGAATCCGCTCTGTGGCCGTCTACTTCGCAGACAAGGCAATGTGGATCTTCCGTACATACATTTGCTAGATGCCCCATCTTGCAGCAGTTTAGGCATTTTCCCTTCATAGTAGTTTCCTCTCTGGGCTTGGGGTTTTGCTCCTTGCACACTCTCGCTACATGTTGATATTTCCAAAAAAGCGCAAAAAACCAATTTTTGTGACCTTTGACCTTGAAATTTAATAGTTGCTCACACCCTACCATATGTAGGTTTTGAGACAACTTTTAGGGTGTCAATATACAAGTATTTACAGACTTACAGCTGGGTATCTCGAGATTCTTACCTAATTTAAGCTTAAATGACTGGATTATCTACCTACATCTCTAGTTGCTATTTCCCATCCCAATTCTGTTATATATCGTTAATAAATGCCGGACTCCAAATGGATTCTTGTCTGAACCTGTCGACCATATTAATATACTCACATAGAAATCTATCGCCTTATAAGATCACTCCGTACGACACTGTCCACGAAACGTTACTGTCTCGATAGACGAATAGATGGCGCTTGTATTTGGCAATCGAAAATGCTGGAAAATTCTTCGGAATTCTATCGAAGCGACGCGAACGTGGAACATCCGCGAAACATCGGGAGCATTATTCTCGAAGCAACGCTACGTCTGGAACGGCCGCTAGCGCACGTCGAGTTAGGCGTGATCTTGGTCACGTCACAATTGAATAATGGTTAACAGAGGCGGCCGGCGTTACTTTCTTCGGGGCATGATTCAGAACAATATTGTCTATCGATTCCATAACATTCAGAATTTGTGAGTTAGATCTGTTTCCATACTAGGATTCGTGGACCATTTGACAACGACCATCAATGAATTGGCAGCTGAAAATACATAACAGAAAATAATTCCACTTCACTCGTTCCATTCTTAAGTTATTGAAAATCAATAATTCATTAATTCTTCCAAGAAATCTCCGAAATATAAACAACTTTGATCTCCCGAGAAATATAAAGAATAAAACTGCAACTGGTTATGATGTAATCTCCATAAAAATTATACAAAATCTTCCAATTGAGGCACTGCAAACATTGGTATCTCAAGTCAACACTTCTTTCCACAATGGAATTTTTCCTAATTTTCTGAAAACGTTCGTTGTCCTTCCAATATATAAAGCCAGTTTGATTTTCAAAGCAATAAAAATACGCACGATGCCATCTTTTCATTTCTTTGTGATATTTATTCAAACTATAATTCTGGTAATGTACCAGCTGCGGTCTTTTGTGATCTTTTTAAGGCGTTTGATTGCGTTGATCACAAAATCTTGCTAAGAAAAACTCACCAATACGGTTGCAGATAAATGACGCTCAAATGTTTTGAATCTTACCTTTTAGGAAGGAATCAAATGGTAAGAATAACAGGACTTTCAGAAAAAAAAGGAAATTTTGTGTGTTGTTCCACAAGGATCACTTTTAGGATCCATATTATTCTTATTTATATGTCGATGACATTGCAAATTTGAGCATTTCTCCTTTTTCTTTTTTTTTCTGATGACACGACGATATTGTGGAACAACAAAAACTCAAATAATTTACACAATGCAATATCTACTGATATGAAAAAATCAAGGAGTGGTGTAATGCTAATTTGCTATTCTTCAATATCACTAAAACAAACATTTTATCATTCAGATGTGCTCTTGATGACCGGTCATTTAGTGATAACTTAGTGATCAAGAACGAAACCCAATCTAAATTTCTAAGTATTCACATTGACAATAAGCTTAAATTTATTGAACATATCAAACAACTTAAAAGTAAAATTTGTTCTGGATGTTATGCAGTGAGAGTAACTTCAATAAATTTGGGAATCAAAACTACCAGAACGGTGTATAACGTCCTCGTTGAATCTAGTAAAGGTCCTAATACACTACCTTGTGGAACTCCAAAATCATTCACTAACTCTTGTGAGTAGCACCTATTAATTTTTATTATTAGACTCCGCGAACTGAGGTAACTTTTCATCCACTTCAAAAGTACATCACCAATACCATAATATTTGAGCTTTTGGATTAATATATCTCTGTCTATTGTTTCGAATGCCCTCCTTAAATCTAAGAATATACACACACCGTAATTACCTTTATTAATTTTTTCTTTCCAATTTGTTATTGTGAACTGTAAGGCAGCCTCACACGAATGTTTTTTTCTGAAGCCTGACTGACAACCTAAAAGTAACCTGTTTTCATCAAAGTATTTGTTGAGTTCCTCACATACTGCTAATTCCAATACTTTTTCAAGGGTTGGAAGAGTATTGATAAGACGAAAATAACATGCTTCATAAGTATTATTCATTTTTGGTATTGGTATTACTGTGCTTATTTTGAAGTGTTGGGGAAATTGTCCTGTTTGAAGAGACGTATTAATTAAGTTCAGTATGACATGCCCCAAGGTGTCGAATGTCTCTTTTAGAAATACACTGTTCATTATCTCAGATCTATTAATTTTATTTATTGAAAATATTATATTTTGCAACTGCGGCAAGTCTATTTGTTTAAAAGAATTTAATTTACAATTTACTATGTCGAAACTGTTTGAACTCCAGTCTGACTCAGAATTTATATTGTTTACAATTTCACCTATCATCATCATCATTCCACCAAGGACGACAATAATCAAAACAACTACATATCTTTAGAGGGTAGTCTGTGGAGTTTGGAGAGAAAATCTCAACTCCATGAAAGATATCGTTTAACACTCTTGGTAGAGAAGATCTACATCAGGCCCTGTTAGCTTATATG